ATACAATTTAGTATCACATTTACTCTGCACTCTCATGTGAGCTTTTGCTTATTAGCTTGCATACTTAAAAAAACATACTATAATATCATTTGATATAGTTTCTGAAACATCTCAACTACTAAATCTAAATTTATCTCTTTATGAAGTTTTCCAGAGTAGATCATAAGCTTTAGAAGAAACCACATCTTGTATTTTTTGGATGTAACCATGGCTCAGAGAGCCCTTCTACATTCATCTGAGGCACTCGTAAGCTAATTTCTCATTGACTGAAAATTACTGGCAACCCCGGTTCTATGCCAGGTGGAGGAAAGGAAAAACCATGGTATTAAAGCAATAAAACAAACCATTTCCCCTACAGAGTTAGTCTAACATTAATAAAAGCCTCATGTCACACTATTACCCTCTCCCTTATTATTCTCATGCATTTCGTGTTGGATATAAACGCCAGGACACTTTATCTGTCTGCATTTGCATTGGATTTATTGCTATTGAACAAACACCAACCTGCATCTTCTGGCAGGGAAAAGCTTGTGCTCAGTGGCTTTCTCCCTCCACCCCACCTACTGTATCTCAGTGACCACAGGGTGACGGAGTCTGACGAAGGGACGCTGTGCTAGTTCTGATAAGCCAAAGTTTACAATTCCCATTTCTAGAGGGTTTGAGCAAGTTACTTCAAATGTGAAAAACAGGTTAGCAGAAATGATGAGAAGGAAGTATTTATTGCCCCACCTCACTGTACATCGTTTTCCTTAGCGGAACCATGCTTTATTCACCCACATATTCATTCTTTTCATGGTCAGATGATAAAAAGAAGATTCTTCCCACAGAACCAGGCATTCTTTCTGATTCATCAAAACCAGTGATTTTGAAACCTAATATGCATCAAAAATCATCTGGAGAGCTTTTGAAAGCATATGTTGCTTGGGGTAGGCCCAGAAATTCTGACCCCATAGGCCTGAGTTGGTCCCTGTAGTTTGAATTTCTCAGGGATTCCTGGGTGACACTGCTGATGCCAGTCTGTGGTTAATATTTTTTTGAGTTGCTCATCTCAGCCTTTTGGGTGGTGATTCACATTCTCTGCCTGGCCTCTTTATAATAATTTAACTCATTCTGCCATAAATATAATGCAAGAGCAAAATATATGTGCAAATAATTTATGAGACAGGACCTAGGAATCACTGAGATGGAGTCACAGTCTGACACGAGGAAGAAAAGAAAGCCCTTCTCTGTGAATCAATCATATTTTTTACCTGTTTAACAAGAGTTTTAGTGATGGAAACCCACAAGAAATGAAGACAAAAAAATTTTAGCCTTCATTCCTCAGCTACTAGTAGTCCCTTCTTAAGAATTCAGCCTTCTGGTATTTCTAGCATGGACTTTGCAAGGGCTAACAAAATTGAGAGGTAACCATCGGGCTTATCAATTATTTCCTGAAATAGAACGGGGAAAAAATGTAGAGGATTGCTCTAAACAATCCCAAGTCATCCAGGGATGGGCCCAGTGTAAATGTGAGACACTGGTGGTGTATACCAGGAGATAACACACAATGACATCTGACTCGGCCAAAACAAAGTTGCTGGGAGACATTGGTAGAGGTTAATTTCTTTCTTTCTTTCTTTCTTTCTTTCTTTCTTTCTTTCTTTCTTTCTTTCTTTCTTTCTTCTTTCTCACTTCTTAAAACCTGCAGAAAGGAAATATTTTCCTCTGGAAGTTGTCACATTTGAATAGGACATTGATAGTCCTCTACCCATACTGTGATGAAAAATAGCCTTAGGGTGAAGCTGCTGCCATGAAGAACATGTGAAGAGATGGAATATTTTGCTTCTTTGGTGAAATTATTGAGGTGCTAGCATTACCTGATTAGCACACAGCTCCCCTTGAATTATTAAATGAGGAATGACTCATAGTGGAATTATTTAAAACAGTTACAATTGAAGTTCCTGACCACATTTATTTTCTGAAATGCAACAGAGATGGTACACAACTCACAAAGTTTCCCTTGTCTAGAGCATTATCTGAAACCCTCCTAAAAGTGCAGAATTTAAAGACCCCATGATACCTACTCAATCTGGGTATTTATCAGACAAATCTCCAGGGGACCCCTGTGCACAGTAAAGTGGAAGAAACCCTGCCATACACTGAAGAGAAAGAGAGCTGATAGTTGGGAATCATATCATGCATTTTGAAATCTATTATTTTACTTTTGATCACTTGGTGCCTCCTTCTAGGTCTTTTATCTTTTATTCTAGACTTGAAAATAAGATTATATCAGCCTATGGAAATATATTTAAATCTGTAATTGATTACTGGCTAATTAGTCTGAAAGATAATTTTTCTGTAGGAGTTAGTTTTCCTAAATATTAATGAGCAATTAGAATTCTATTCTGAAAACAGATGATATTGTGATTTGAGGATGAGTCGAAGGCGGTGAAAAATAAAACGATCACAAGTAAACATGGTTGTATATTGGGGAGACCATGTGAGCTTCTATTTTTTAAGCCTGACATGTGGCAATTTGAAGGAAAGTAAATCAGCCAGCACCAGGGTGACCCTCATACACAAATGAATCACCTACTAGGAAAATGAAACAAATAAATAAAGCTCTCTAGATCAGAAAGAAAGTAAAGGACAAGCTGTATTGTCACTTGGGAGGACCTAGAGTGTGACTTTAGCCTGATAAAGTCCAAAGCAGAATTTATTGCTGATCATAATTTCATGAAATAACATTTCCTGGGTCAAGTAAACCTGGAACTTGGGAGACACAATCATAAAGAGTGTTTTTGTTTCCTTTTTAACATAGGTCAATAGCCGTAAAGACTTATTCTCTCCTCACATCTCTGCCAAAATTCCTTAACATATTCTTGTCCTTGTACTCTCACTCCTGCTTACACAATCTCCTAAAGCGGCCAGTGCCATGTTTTCAAAATGCTAATGTGTTTAGTCTACACACCAGTGCAAAATGCATCAAAGATTTTTTTTTATATTTTATTTTCATCTTAACATTGCTTTAAAAAAACTCTCTTTTAAGTGTTATGTGATCTTCTCTAGGTTATAGTTAAAAATTAACTGTCTTTATTTGTCAAATAAGATAACATATTACTTATCTGAGCATGCTTACATACTTAACTATCACTCTCTCATATAGTATTTTTTATACTCCTAGAACACCCTACAAACATCCTTCCAAACAACTCATATTCACAGTTCTATTTGGGTAATTAGATTTTTAATATTTATCTTCCTCGAAGAAAACAAAAAAGAGATTTCCTAAAATCTTTCTTATTCATCACCACGTCTCCTTATGTGGCATTTGTCTCTTACATAGAGGCCAATTGTTAAATGTTTATTTAATGCCTGAACACACTGTGAATTTTGAACATGGCAATGCACGAAGTTTCTCAAATCCATTGAAATGTGAGGACTTTATTTTTCCAATATGGAAGTGATATTCCATAGAATTTACTTTAAGAAATGCTTTTCTTAAGTCAATTCCACTTCTCCTAAGTGTGAAAGGGAATATAAGTTATAACTACATTTCAAGCTCTGACTAGATGTAACCATGGGCAAAGTTATTTCAAGCTTGAGGTTCACTTGGGGAATGATGAGGCTAGGGGAAATAATCTCTACAATCCTTTACAGCTTTAAAGTCCTGGATTTCTAATTATAGAGAAAGAGTGCCACTCTCACTGTGGTCACGGCACTAGCTCTTGAAGAGTACATCAAGCCAGACCAACCTCATTTAACTCTAGGGTACTTACAGTCAGGATGGCAGATCAGGAACAGGGAAGCCATAGAGCATATCTGGCTGTCAGTGGGTCATTTCACAGTGTCTTCCCTGATGTCTTTATTGACAAAAGTGAGCAATGTGCACTGACGGAGGTATAATGGGTTGGTTTTGCAACTGATTGAAAGATAGCTTCCCAGGAGTCTTAATTAGTAGACCAGCAGTAACACTTAGGTCAGGGGCTGGTGACAGCCTATGGGTTATGTCCTTTGTCCTTCCCTATTCAATATTCCTATCAGTGTCTAGGATAAAGACTAAGAACTCATTATTATCAAATATGTAGATGATATGGTGGGGGGACGATGTCAAACTGAAAATCAGAATTCAAAGTGACTTCAATAGTCCAGAGAAGTGATTTTCATGTAAATTTGGGAAATGTAGTAAAACAGAGTCCCCTGCAAACAGAAGCTATAACCACTTGCCAAAAGATATAATTACAAAAATCTGTATAAAAGCGCGTATCTTTGTGCATGTGATGTATGTATCTGTGCCCAAGTCAGATGTGAGGATTTTACATGGTGCTAAGATAAAAACAAAATTTAAAAAATAAAAAATGTAAGATGACCAGTGGATAGGAATGTCTGTTACAACTGATGTTCATAAATAGAAACCCAGAAAGTTAAAAGAAGCAGCTGACAAATGGCTCCCATTCAATAAGAACCACTGTTTGACTTCCGATTTTTAAGAAGAGGAGTCTGATTAGAATATGATCACAGAAATGCGAGGGAGTTAGTAGAAAATAGGAGAAATTAGGATTTAGTCTAAAGAGACAGCGTAATTTTGGAAATTGTGTTGATGCCTCCTCCCCTAGGTCATGATGAGCGCTTGTCTAATATCCTTTCCAGGCTTGAGCCGTCCCTCCCTGTGCTCACCACTTCACCATGTGACACTGTGTGCGCGGGTTCCTGACGAAGCCAGAGTTTCTGGGACAGCAAGGTTAGAATATATTACATCAGCTGCAACCTCAACATGGTTAGTTCATAATTAGGAGGACAGAATCAATGGATATATTATTATTTCTCTTACATATACTTAGTGTTGTAGGAAAAGTTTATTTAATCTGTTTTCTGCAAAGCCCCGAATTAGGAAAACTATCAGCAGGAAGCGAACTTTTACTCCATGTGAGTAATCCTACTTTTCTAAATGAGTGATGGCTCTGTAGTTAGTGATATTCCTATAGTTGGAGGGAATTAAGTGAAGCTTGAAATTTGCCCCCTTCCCTTTAAAAGCACTCACTGGGTCTCTTTTTAATGACACATTGAGCCTTCAAGAAGGGCAGAATGCAAACACCACCCTTGGGTGAAGTGGTAGCATGGAGTATTGTTTTCCTGAAATTGGTGGGATGACAAGAAATAAAAACAAAAGAAACAAAGACATTTGTCTTCAGCCTTGAATTTTTTATTTATTTATTTATTTATTTATTTATTTATTTATTTATTTTTGTGGTACCAGGGATCAAACTCATGACCTCACACTCCCCAGCCTCCAAACAAGGAGATTTGTGTGCCCATTTTGTTAAAGTCACTAGACACGAAACACAGAACAAACATTATATCTGGTCTTGAAAATTTTATATCCTTTAACATTTGATTTTAATTTACAAATTATTTCCACAGATTTTTTTCTGATCCAACAGAGTAATAATTTATTGCATGAATTTTTCCTTGTGTAGCTTTGGGCTTTTATTCTGGCTATTAAGGCAAGCCATAGCCTACTGAAGTTTTATGCATAAAAAGTACTTTTTTCAAACTTTTTCCTTTTGCTAAAATAACTAATGAAAAACTACACCAAAATTGGTTTCCTTTTGCTCCCATTTCTGTATAACATCTGCCAATCTCCATTTCCTCACCACCTTCTGGCTGGAACTGGAGAGGTATTTACTAACCCGACTTAAGATCAACTCAAAATAGACAGGACATTTACGTGAACAAGTAAGTGCACGTGTCCTTCGATCAAAACATTCCTCTTTTCTGCCATTATCATATAAAAAAAATCTCTTAGTGAAACAGCAAAATTAGATCCAGTATTCAAAATTTCTAATATTCTATTGTCTGCCTAAGAATACCAGAATTTCTGTGATATTAGCTTATCTTCCTGTATAAATATGCATAAAACCAAGTATAAGAATTTTTTTTTAATTTTTCTGTACAGTAAGAGCCAAAAACATTCATAGACTAAAAAAAAAAAAGAAGGTGAAATTGTCTGAAATGCTCATGTGGACTTTGTTGTGCTAGGAAGAAATGAGGATTACAATGTCTGTCACTTCATTTTAATTGATCTGTTTGTTTACCAACATGCAGTGTTTGAGAGAAAAGAGCTTTTTAATAAATACATTATGATTTTTTTCATATTTCTCTTTGGCCATTCCAGAATTTGACCCAAACATATTTGGATGTTTTAAGAATAAGTGGTTGAATGGGAAGCGTATAGATTAAATTTTCCTTGGAGTAGGGTGAGGATTCAGAAGAGAAGTTAGAGGATACTTACCAGGGATAGGCATAGGCTTGATTTTAGGAACACCGGACATTGCCTGGAACCACTGTTTCTATAGGCCACCGACCCCTACTTTGAAAGCTCCTAATTGGTTTCTCTTTTCAAGCTGTGCTTGCCAGTAATTACTTAACTCACAGCATTGGCTGTGGGCCACAGACAATTTGAAAGGCTTCCTAACCTCAGAAAGCTACTGTTTATTATATATCAGTTGCAAAAGTTAGTGACAAAGTTTTAAATTCTTTGTATTGTTGCATTTAATATTCACAATGATCCAAAAAGTAATACAGCATGACATTCTCATTTTGCACCATAATATTCCCATTTTACACATGAGAAAGTAAGGGGGAAAAAGTTTAAGAATTCATGCAAAATGAAAGTGTTAGCAAATATTTCGCCAGGAGTTGGAATTCAGGAAGTCTGATTCTAGCATTTTTACATGGAGTTACTAAATCTCTTTGCTTCTCAAACCCTGTGACTACAAATAACTGACTCCAGGCAAGGAGTTAATAAATTGCTTCATTTTAATCTCAAGGCTACACTTTGAGGCAGCTATACTTCCCATTTTTAATAGGTGATGAAAGAAATGGTTTGAAGAATTGTATTAAGTTCACAGAATTATTGATTCACAAGACCTGGACTTAATGTGGGGCTTCCTCCACAGACTCCCCCAGGCTGGTCTGTGTACCATGACTGGCCCCTGAATTAACTGTAAGAATTGGGGTAAGGATTGTGCTGATTTAAAAAAAATAACTCCAGATGGAGGGCCTTTCTCTTATCTAGTGAATCAGCATCTCTGAGGCTGGGGCTTCAGGCTCTTCACTTTTAAAGAGTGGTCAGATGATTCTTTTTTTTTTTTTTTTTTTTTTTTTTTATGACCGCACACTTGCAAGGAAGGCGCTCATGCCACTCAGCTAAATCCTCAGCCCCGTCAGATGATTCTTGACTCACAAACTGGAAACACTTACCTCCAAACACCTCTCTTATGAGAGACACCATCTGCTACATTATTAGGAGTTGAAAATGAGATGGAAGATGGAAAGATACTAAGTGTGAATTGACAATAAAAGAAGTCACTTCAATATACAAACCAGAAAATCAGAAGATGCTGCCAGTGTTATGCTTTGGATTCCATTCCAGGGCCATGTGAGACAATGGATTCTGTAGTGTCCTTGAGGCCTGGAGACCCAGACAACAGAAAAGTCAGTACAGCAGGAAGAATGGCACTCTGGCATCAATTCTCATCTCTGCCTCTTAATTCTCATTTTGATACTGGGAAAGATTATTATTTTCTGCTTTTTAATTTCTTTATCTGTATGCTATTTCCCATTTTGATTTCATGTGGATTAAGTGATTCACAAGCCTAAGGCCCTGGGCACCTGAGAACCAGTCAAGTGTCTTGTTTTTGTCTCTTTGTGATGATTTAAAACAAGTCTGCATGTTTCAGGTAAATCCAGTTGTCAATTCCTCCCTAACCATGGACTTCAATAGATCAATTGTTTCAAATTTCCAGTTTGTCAGTTGTTTGTTTTTTCTTCATTAGAATTGTCTTCTCAAAATAGCACTTGCCACTCAATGTGTGCATTATTACTGAAAAGTAATGACTTGATATTATCAGAGAAAGATGAAGGAATACAGCAAAGGGATGAATATCTAATGGAAATCATTCAAAAATTCCTATCTATTGACAATGGGGAGGATTATGAATACCATTTTAATCCCAAATACTATTACTTTCTGTACTTAATCAAAATATCAATAGAGAAATCACTTTTTGGCAGAAAGTGCCAAGTTGCAAATGACTTACCAATTATTTATAAAAATTCTTAAGAATTGCTTCTCCTTAGAGGAAAGAGTAAATCACTGAGAGCATGTAGTGAGTGAATCACATTTAATAATTTACTAAATCCCAGGAGACAGAAATCTAGGCACCATTTTGAAGGTGAAAGATCAGGCTCAGAGAATGAACAGGCATGCCAAAGTCATACAAGACTCCTGATGGAACTTACATGGCCTATTTCTTTTCTTTTAAAGTCTCCCCAGGCTTTGAAACTTCTGATTCCAGGCAGGCTAAATATTAAGGCTAATTTCTTTTTACCATCTCTTTCAATCTCTCCTTTTTAGAAACTTTTAATTAGTTCCCAACTCTCTACCATTATTTGTGTTTGTTATTAAGTATTAAGATCCATCCCTATTTCCTTCTCTTCTCTTGCACCTCTCCTAGAGCTTCCCCATTCCTAGGCTTCTGGTTTTAATTGTTATATTTTTTTCACCAATGTTCAGTGGAGCTTCTCTAATGATCTCAACTCATTTGGAAGGTTTATAGCTGCAGCATAGAGCTCCAATAAAGTGAAAAGAGAAGCTTAGCTGGGAATCCCCTGAAGGCTTGCTCTTGCCAAGAACCAAACTAGTGTGTAGCTCTCTCACCTACCCCTACACTAAGAGACCTTGCTTTGTGGAAAGATTCCCATCTCCTGTAAGAGGAAGGCAGCTTCCTCCTCTCCCTTCATCACATCCCCAGGTTATCATCTGAGAGTCCTACACACAGTAGGTAGGCATGAGATTACTATTTATTGAATGATGCAATAAGTAAATGCATTAAGAAAGGAAGAGACAAGGATAAAGGAAAGATTTATGGGCTACTTAACCTTTGCCAGGAAATAGCCAACGTTCTTAGATGAGTCAAGTTCTCAGTATCATGCTAATACGCAGTTGTAAAATAAGCATCAGTCAATTAAAAAAAATACTCCCATGGACAGATATAGGTAGCATTTGTAACAGTTAATATTACTGATTAATTATTATTTGCCAAGCCATAATGTATCTTTGCATCATGTTAGAACTGTGATCCAAAGACACATATCCAAAGGAATGAACTGAGTTATTATACACTTAAACTTTCCCATGATTTTGATCATTTGTTCAAGAATTTAATTACTACAAAAGTTGTAACATATTTGGAAAACATTTCTTTTTATCATCTTTGGTTTTGGAGAACACTGAGGACAAGATGTGATGTATAGTTCCCCATCCTTACCTAGTATTCTGCATGGACAGAAGAAACACCAAAATTCAAGAACAAAAGCAATGCAAGGTGATAGAACAAAAGGACTGTGGAGCTTACAAATTCATTTTACACTCAGGAGTGTTATGCACTAGTTGTTTTGTGAGTTTTAGAGTTCCTGGGTTTTCATAGCCTTGGTTTTATCATCTGGAAAATGAGGAGAAAACTTTTTCATCACCATATGTGTGCTTCATCAGAATTCTATTCCTAGATTCATGACACAATGTGCCACTCAGTCTGGGGCAGGAAGTACCTCCGAAAGTGTACTTGAGGTTGAAGTTTCTTATCTTAATTTTCTATATTCTGTGTCCACCACAAAAGAAAACCATGAATATCCTCAGATATATTAAGAACTGCACGACTCCTCTTTGCTGACTCATAGAGGTCCTATCTTAATCTTAGACAAAAATAAATTGAAATGCTAATCCAAGCTGTGGCCCTTATAAACTTGTGGCATCCTAGAAAGTCTTGGTTGAGAAGAACTGTGATTTTCTTTCTTCGTCCTACACACAGAGAGAAAATCAGATGCATAGAGGGAGGAGGATTATCCTTGGTTGCGTGACTTGAAAGGGTCGAACCGAGGTTAAAAATTCAAACCTAAACAAAAAGACACTGTTTTGAAAAAAAAAAAAGTAGTATATTTTTACTACACAGTGAACATATTCATCATGGGGAATTTGCACATTTACTAATTCTGGTTTTAATCCCATTGCTCTCCTTCTCCCCCAACTTACAAAAGCTCTATTTTCATTTTATTCACTTAATTCTTTTTCTTGTTTACCTTTGAATTCATTTTT